ATATATTTTTATATTATTAATTATATTTAATTTATATACTTACACAAAAATTATAAAAGTGTCCTAGATAGGGTAAGCTGGAACCAAGGAATTTCACATCTGCATATTTTGAGAAACAAACCACTGTACAACAAAGTAACTATGGAGTCATTTAACAGCTAAAACTCACAGGCTTGAAGTACTAACCTCATCAAACTCATCACCAAAGGCAGCTCGGTTTGAGATAGCATCTGAAATTTCCTGGGCAACATCTTGCTGTTCAGTGATATCTTGCATCAAATCATCAATTTTGTTCAAGTCCCTGGCAAGATAACATGGAAACATTTTTTTTAAGCTATATCATTCAAATCCTACAGAAAAACTTGAACGGACCCCATTTTCTTTTTATGCCCTTGGCTGTATAAACAACAGAACTCACAGGGAATAATTTCCCTCACCTAGACCTTAATGTTTCCCAGCAAGCTTCTGTGCTGTTTAGCCAGTCCAGTTTCTTCCACTCTGGGATTATAACAAAAGTCAAACTGCAGCAGTCTGTTTCTCTCTCCCTCTCTGTGCTTCTCATACCTCTGCCAGCCAACAGTCATATTTTCCCTGGACAGATCTCATCTCCTTCCAAAGGTCAGCATCTTTACAGATGAATCTTTTTTGATGTTAAGCTTTCACCAGAACTGAGGGGAACTTAACAGGCCTATACTCCATTTAAAAGTTTCCCCTTATTGTTAACTTCATTATTGTTTCAGTTCCTGTTTACTTCTCCCAGAACAACCTTTCTGATTTAACTCTGTTTATTCAGGCAGGAAAACGCCTCATGAAACAATATAGGACATAGAAAAATACTACACGCACAAAAAAAATTACCCTCTCTTTTATTCAAGTCTAATTAGTACTTTGAATCACACAGTCGAGCTTATGAACTTTGAGGAAAAGAGTTCACTCAGTTTCTTCAACTAAGTTTTCTTCTGGAAGAACCAAGGGCAGAGGCCAGTTTCTACTACCAAAGCAGACTTAAAAAAACAGGTACCACATGGATCTCTCTAGTTAGCTGGACTTCCTTCTAGATTTGCTGTTAAGAAAATATATTTTTCTGCCAAATCTAACATTACAGCACCAATAGCATTCCTGACATTAAATGCCCAAAACCAAAATGAAGTTAAAACTGCTTGAATTGTTACAATAGACCGTAGTGATGAAATAGTTTGAAAGCAAGGTCAACTTGAAAGCTATTAGAAAGCACTTACATATTTTCATGCACCTTTTTCATAGCTTTTGCAGCATAACCCATATTCTTGAGCACTTCTGTGTTGGTGTGGGAATTTTCCAGTGCCTCTCTCTGGAACTCAATGGTCGAAAGTGTCCCATCAATTTGACTCAACTGTTTCTCATATCTCTTTTTTCTCTTCAGTGCTTGTAAGGCAGCTGGAAAGCAAAGAGGCAAAGTGCACTGTGTATTTATATAGCAAAACATAAGGACAAGTAGTTCAGCACCATGCCAACCTGCAGAATTTATAATTCTCACTCTCCTACCTTACTAGTAGGGAGACAAACTTTGACCACACCAGATCAGCAGCCTGTTTATCACCAACATGCTGTTGCATGAACATGCTGGGAGGCCTCTTTTAGATTAGCTCCTTTTAGCACCACAGGGAAGAGCAGCTCCTTCCTCCACTGCGGGAGATCTTGAACTCCATCCTGTGCACACAGGCAAAGCAGGGAAAAGGGGGAGGAAAAAGAAAAATATCAGAGACAAGTCAGAAAGGAGAAAAAAGGGGAAAGAAAGAAAAGAAGATGTTGCAATACATAAGTAAAAACTAAGGAAGACAGAGTAAGAAGATCTGTCTTGACAACCACATCTCCACCAACCCTGCTTTCTAAACTTCATCTCAGCAGCAGAAACTGTCAAGTACAACGGGAAGCCCAAATGGCCCAATTAAGCAGGTGGGATAGATCAGAGGAGGACTCACATTTCTCTGGCTTTCAGCTGCATCTATTTCTTGCAATCACTTAGGAGCATGATCTTTAAACCTTAGAACTTGAAAACATATGGAACTTTGTAGACACAGCCACAGTGAAATCCAGCTACTCCCCATTATCTTTGTAAATTGTTCAGATTAGTTTTTTATATTTGCCAAGTTATGAGCAGCATACTTTGCCCAGAGTAAATCATTACCAGAATAAATGCACATAACAAGCAGGAGGAGAAAAGGGCTTTCTCTTGGCCCCTGGGTGTGGAACACACACAATCTTGCCACAAACATTTCCTGGCCACTGTCATTTCCAAACTCCACACGTGCCAGGCAAGAAAAATACCGGACAAAAACAAGAGACTGAGTTAACCCATTGATTTTTCAAGGCTATTAACATCCATGTCCCTTTCCCTTGCCTCTTACATTTAATTTTAAATCAGGCTCAGAGCCAGCAAGCAATAGCAGCACTGGAGCCCCCCAAACTCAACCAACAGCAGCAATTAACTGTTGCTGTCCTATTCAAATAATTGCCCACGTGCAGTAACATTGAAACTTGCCATTGGGGTACACAACTTTTCAAATGAAGTTAGAATCCCTCCAAGGATGAGGCACATATTTATGGTGTATAACAACACATTAAAGAATTTAGTGCTTTTTTGACAGATGTTTAAATCAAAATGGTCAAAATTGCTCATCATTAGCTGTGCTGGGACAAGCATTCCCACAGACTAAGATGCACAATACCTCCTAGAACACGTAGTTAAATGTTTCAGGACAGCAAACTGCAATCACAACAGATTAATCACAGTATTAAAAGTCAAGATTTTCCTAGGTTTTGGGAGATGGTCCGAAGATCATGCATATTCTGAAGGAGATGCATGAACACCAGATGATGTCATGCAAATGGCAAATGTGACAATTGCAAAATTCTCATTGGCAATTCAGTTTCAATGCATCAGTTTGGCTTAATCCCAAATCATCTTTTTATCTACTTTTTATTTCCCTACTTATTTATGCTTATTATTGGTAGTGTTAGGAGACCAGCCACTTCCTTCATTTCAGCTGAATCAAAATTTTATCCTGGATTCTTAGGTTAGGAAGCCAGAGATTCCAGGGAAATTTAATGGTCTCAAACTGTGCATAACTGGCTGTGCCAGGGAGGACTCTCAAGCCCTGTGGACTGAGGAGCACTTAGTAGCTGATGCAGAAAGGCTTCAACTGAGTAAGTAGCTACCACAGGGATCTATTTCCAGTCGGTGTTTTTCAGAAATGGGATTCTGTAATGGTGCTGTTATTATTGGCTCCTCAGAGAGAAAATGGATTTCCTCAGTTACACATAAAGCAGTTGTTTTCAAACTCCTGAAGGTTCCTGTACTAACATTTAATTAAACTACACCTAAATTAAGAAACCACAGAAGCTAAACTCTGTGTGACTTCACCTATTCACAAGCAGCTTTTCCTAATTATTGTAGTGCAACCAAACATCTTTATTAATTCTCTTTAGTCTTCCCAGTGACTTACAGAACAAAGCACTTCATAGGAAATCAATTCATACTCCTTCTCTATCAACCAAGGCATAATTCCTACACTACATAATTTTTCTCTTTTATATTAAATGAATTGGGGGTTGGAACTAGATGAACTTGAAGGTCCTTTCCAACTCAAACCATTCTATGATTCTATGAAAGCCCTTCATTGCACAGCGTTTTGTAATAGTAGCTCCTATAGCTAAGATATGAGAATTTCCTTGTTATTTGAAATCTATTTTTCTGTGTTTAACATGAACTTTAAGTGCTTCTCTACTGCATGTACAAAAACGTGTGCAACCCTTGTGACAAGAAGATGACTGAAAGGCTTCATAGAAATGCTACTGCATTATAGTAACCAAACTGAAGAACATATCTATCAAAAAATAAAGAAATTGAGCAGAGAACATAAACTTACTTCACTGAAGGTCTAAGAATGGCACTGAAAAAGCGTCTTGCCCATTCCAAAGATTTCAAAGAAACAAGATAGCCCAGGGAGGAAGAGTCTAAACAAGGGTAGAGTCAGAGGAAGCAAAAGTGTAATTAATACCAATTCAACAAGAAAGAGGTGGAGGTCTTCTCCAAGGAAAAAGCAATGTCATACACTGTCTCTGTTGTGCTCCAAAGAAGCTGATTCAACTTCTGCACTTCATAATGAAGTGGTTAGCAGTTGGCTGGGCTTTAGCACTTTTCCTGTGCTCTGAGTCCAGCAAGAAGGATACAGCTCATAGATTAGGAACCACTGTTTTTAATCTGAGTTTTTATTTTATTTTCAAGATAAGTGGCTGGAACAACAGTAGACTATTATGCTAGTTTAAGTATGCATATTAAAGAACTATGTTATTAGCATACAGAAGGACATTTTTCCAATAACACTACTATGCCAATACTTGATTAAAGAAGCAGAAATGGCAGCTGGGCTATAGTAATCCTGGCCACACAGAATATCCAGGTTTCTAAAGGAAAGAACAAAAGTAGTGCCACAGAAAAGAGTTGTAGCACCCTCTTCATGATTTCACAACAGATCAGAATGAAGAGACAGTACAGGGGTAACAACTTTACCTGACAAGCCCACCACCCACATCCATCAGTACAGGAATTACTGACCTAATCTTCTGAAGCAGAAATAAAAGCATTGCCTAGTTATCCTTAAAATTCCCAGGGGGAAACTGGTGAAAAAGGAAAAGTGTGTTTCTTCAGAAGACAAAACACCACAGTGAAAATACTGGATCACATTCTTGGATACAGTTCACAAACCTCAACTTCAGTCCTGCAAGGGATTGATGGATTACAACTTTGGATTTTACACCAGGGACAACCAAAAGAAATGCTGCTGAGGCCATAAAAATCATACCACCTAAAGTAAGCTCATTATCAGCATTCAGAATCCTTAAAACCTTGTGGGGGAAGCCACATACAGTTAAAACCGAGATGCTAATTCAGGAACAATAATGAACTTGACTTATTATAATCATTCCAGTTCATGGCAAGACACTTGAAATGTGATCGTGAAGATCAGAGAACAATAGCTGTAACTCACAGAACAAAGACACATGAAAAGATTCCTTGTATCTCCCTGCTAGAAACCCTCAGTCCCAACCTGTCATACACCCTGCCACAGGTATGACGGCCGGGTCCGTGTTAACACCGACTCCTACATCATTGTTTGGTTACAACAGCCTTCTGGTTACAACTAACTCATTGCACAGGAATGCTACATGGCTACCTAAGCCCTGCCCAAATCTACCACACAACATATTTAACAGCATCTACTTGTAAAAGCCTACCTGTTATTCCAACTTTCTATATAGGTTTTGTTCTCAGTAGTATTATGTGGGTCTTTATGGTTAAGATTTATTCCTATTCTGGATGGCTTCTTTTAACTTAATTCTTTTCATTTAGTCATTTTTTAAGATCTGTGAAAGATTCCAGGCTGAAACAACACTCATTCACATGTACATTGTTTTCACAGGCCCAGATGCACTTCAGAAAACACATTTCCTTTTAAAAAGAGTTCTCAAACATACAGTATCACCTTCTGTCCTTTAAATTTTCCTGTATGACCTTTAAAATACTGAAGATGAAAGGCCAATTTGTAGATGAAGTTGGCAGCTGTGCACTAGCTGAAACTGAGATGCCCCAAAAAAGTACAGGAAGAGATACCATAAAAAAAAATACTGAGTTTGTGTCTGGAATGGGGAGAGATTAAAAAGCAGTGCTAACTGTGAAAAGAAATATTGCTTATCATGACACAACCTCTGCAGGAGGAATTCCAACACACATCACTGTTTCAAAAACCTTCCAGTAGTCTAGCTACCATAAGATATTAATGGGGAATGCTGGAAATGTATCTCCCCAAAACTGTAGCTAATTTCAGATTAGGTACAGGAACTGAAGAAGATACTCACTTCATAAAGGAGAAGCCAAGAATGTTTAAGTGATGTTTCACATCTATTTGCATAGCTAACATGTTACGGCTCTTAAATCAAGTCAAGCCTACTGATGTCACATGAACCCATTCAAGAATCATCTGAGCTCATGAAAAATTGCTGGTGCTTGAATCTGCTCTCTCTTGTGTCAGTATAACCGACTCAGACTCATGTGCCTAACAATCAAATGAGATCATGCTAATTAAAAAACTTTTATTCTCTCATTTGTGTATATATTTACGTAATGCTACAATAGATGCTGCTTAGCAGAGATTTCCTCTGATATCAGTATATCAGCTGATATGCTGTTATATGTAAATCAATAGCAATTAAGCTGTAAACCAACTGACATATCAAATGAAGGGGTATTTTGGGGGATTTAAATTCACTCACTAGCCTGCTAAATTCAAACACTTCAGCACAGCAAGGTTAGTTTCTCTTGTTTCTCATCTGATTGTAGTTACACTATCCTGTTTTGTCTTTACAGCCATTTTTGG